TGGGTTACGCGTTCGATCAATACACCGCATAAAATATGTGCTGTAATCGAACTTATGTTTTTGCGATTCAACCACCATACACACAAATAATATTAATTATTTTTTAAAAAAATGTTTACAATATAACAAAGATATGAAATTTCACTAAGCAACAAAATTAATATGCAATAATAATAATGTAAATAAAGATTTCAAAGTAAATAATATATGTTAGTAATGAAACAAAAATTTTTGTAAATAAATTTCAGAAATTATAAGTGTGATTATCCGATTCAATTGAATATTTTAAATTACGTGATGATTATTAAAGAAGAGGGGATTCTTTGGCGAAAGACGTGGAGACCCCGATTCGGGGTTTTCCGCCAGGGAATCTTTAAATTCCCATAATTTTAAAACTGTCAAAAAGAGGTTTATCTATAAAAATTAAATATCGTGAAAATTGAATGAATTGTAGAACTTAATGTAGATGATCAAGTACCCGATATATCTTCATTAAAAGACCAGAATACGTATTATATTATATACTTTTTTGTAAAATCAATTAAATCTCTTTTGATTGCGCATACATACATTAACATTTGTACAACGAATTTGTATATATTCGTTCAAAAAAATTTAATACCGAATCGTTCAAGAACCAGTTCCACGACACCTATCTCTAATAAAATCATTACGGCCAGATAGTCGGCAATCGTGAAAGGTTCGAGGTAACTAGAATCGTGGCAATGGTATCCATGGAATTCAAGGCGGATTCCATTATCAGAGGAGCGAAGCAGGGATAGGAAATGTCGGCTTAACGTTGAATATATGAAGCTCGCCACGCTGCTGGGCAGCGAAATTGGTCATATCGTGGGATTTCTGGTTGCTGCGTTGATTAGTCGGCGGTGAAAAACGTGGAAAAATAGAAAGAACGGGGGAAGAAGGATGTTCCTCCTTTGCCGCGAATGAGCCTGAGGGACGGCAAGGAGATGCAGGGGCGGAATAATGGAGCGAAACTTCTCTTCGGGGGGGGAAAAAAAAGAGGGAAGAAGGTATCGAAGAAAAACGAGCCCGCCTTCTGGAAGGGAGCTATGATTGACGGCGCTGCTTGTTTCAAACTTGCGGCTCTTTCTTCGAATTTGTAATCGATTACAGGCCGCCTCGGGACATTTTGGAACGTTTTGAATGGTATTTGAAAAATTGGAGAGGGAATTTGTATGGGTGTATAGGAGAGATATGGAAGGGAGGGATTGGCTGAGAGGTAAATCGTAATGAAAAACTTTTTTTGAAGTTCGACAGTCGTGATTCATTCGCGGAGGAGGGCTTTTTATATCGTGATTTAGCGCGTTCCTCGGTCCATAAATCGGAATTTCCTTGATTATTGGATCTTTACACCTGTTCCGAGAGATAAAATCTATCATTTCTTTTTAAACTTGATGTATGAATGGAAAATTTCGAGATACAGCGACGATTCGAGTTATTAATGGCAGGATTGGAATATTTATCATACAATAATTACGAATTTATTCGAATCGATTTTGACAAATTAAACATAAGAAAAAAAGTATTTTCATAGATATATAATTTTGAAAATAATGAAATGTATCATACAATAATATAAAATATTATTAATAAACTAATTGAATTAAATGTCGAGGAACAAACAAATATATAATGTCGTTTATATCGATATTCCCCAGTTTTTAAATTAAAAATACAAAACAAAAAAGTACAAGAAAACAAATCAAAAATAAGTCGACAGATTTCATGAATCATTAAATTGAGAAACGAAGGAGATCATTGTGCTCGAGATACGAAAGAAACAGCATTGTGTTTCAGAGATTTCATAGAACAAAAGATCGTGTAGTTAATTGCGAACGTCTGAAAAAAAAAAGATAACAATACCGTTGATATCGTGGAGGACAAGTGAAAGAGGGTAAGAGGAATTTCGTTTGGCTTCCATGTCACGGATGATACACTTTTTCTTCGGCATCGAGGATTGTACAGAGTGCATTTCGTCCGATTTTTCCACGATTATCGATCGTCGACTGCCACGACGATGTTTACGACGGGATATTGAAATGAACGTTGCCTTTCATACTTTATCGGATATATCGTGATATGCCTGGAATTTTGATACGGCCGTGCACCCTCGCGATTCGATAACAGCCCGACTCAAAGAGATTGTAATAGATACTTTAAATAAATTCTATGCTACGATTGGAGAAGTGGAATCTACATGGATTCTATTTTTTCTTTTTCTTTTTTTTTTTTACATCACATCATATGCGAATAATTCGACGTAATTTGAATTTTCGTTCTCGTTCGTTTATATTCTGAACTATTCGTTCCAATTTTTAAGTTTTGAATGATCAAATTTTAATAAAATGCGTATATATTTGATTTATGTTTTCTATTGATTATATTGAACTTTTAAATTTAAAATAGAGGAAACATGAAATAATAGATTATATTTAGATTGAATTTGCTATATAATTTATATATTAATAATTTATTTTTTTATTTAAAAAATTGCTCAAATACATTTGAGAATTTCGTAATGCTATATAATTACATATATATTAATTTTTAAATTTTATTCAATTTTATTCTCACTGTATTTTTATATTTCATTACATCATATTATACAATTATTGATTTTCTTGGATAAAAACAAAATTATTAAATCTCAAATTGAATAAAAATATAAAACTATAATTAATTTTCTTACATATCTCTATAAAAAATTAATAACTAAAATTGCCAATACGCCTCGTACGCAATCGGGAGGATAGATTATTCTATAAGAGCTTGTGGAACAGATGAACGAATCCAATGTGTAGATTAAAATTTTTACGCGGCTATGCAAATTATGGGCCTCGATTTAATCGTGATAAATTCTCCCCTATATTACAGGATATTTAGATTTCGTGCAATTTTCATTGTTTTTATACACAATGCAAAAACATTTACGCGAATCCATGCGTTAAGATTATTTTCTATTTTTCTCGGATAAAAGAGAAGCTTTGCGAATCGAATGAAATCGAAATAAAGAAAAAGACACTCCAATGTTCTTCTATAATATAAATGATGTTAACGATGAAATTAACCAATAATTGGCACGAATTTACCAAACGTTTGAAAACATAAAAAATTGTGTCGATTAAATATTAATGCGATTAAATATTAAAGTTTTAATTAAAGATTTAGCAAATATTGAAAGTATTTAATTTACAAAAAGAGTTTGACAAAAAAGTTCAATCAAAAGCAAGAGATTAATTAATATTATCGTTGTGAAAGCGGACAGTGAACAGTTAAAAGCTTAGATTATAAATTAATCTCAGAAATGAATCAGTAATTGAAACGAGTAATTAAAAATAAAAAAATAGAATCGTGGAAAGGAACGAAAAATCAACCCAATACTAATCATCTCAACTTCAAGTTCACAATCATCTTAAATTTCCTTTAATTCTCGCGAGAACCATGTGCACAACCATGCTCCTGCGCAGAGACGATCAAATTCCAACATCTGCACTTCGATTCGTTTTCATTCGAGTCTTCGAATATCGGTAAAACCACCAACACCTCTCGATAGCATCTTTTACCAAACAATAGCAATTGTTTAACCGCGAATAGCCGTTCTGAAACAACGAAGAACTTCTCGAAACTTCTCTACAATTTGAAATCGAGGAAAGGCCAAGTCGTGATAGACAGGGGCCATAACGGGGGATGTTATTTTACAATCGAGAGGGGGCAACGAAACGCCAGGTGAAACGGTCCATTTGACCTGGCTCGTGTAGTACAATCGTTAACGCAATGCGAAAACACGCTCGTTCCCCTGTTTTATCTCGGCTTTTAACGAAAACAACAACGGCAACGGCGATAAATGTTGCCGTACACACCTGATTTTCAACATGGGCGGGAAGGGAGAGAGGAAGAAAGAGAGAAATAGACAGGGAGGAAGTGATCTCCATCACGCTAATCCCTCGAGATTTCGCGGTTCTTGGATACTGATTTCAGGCTGGATTATGGTCAATGCTGAATGACCTGCTTCGTTTCTACATTGAAAACGTGCGCGTGTTTGTTCATTGCTCGATGAGTGCGGTCTGCTTCATCGTTTTCGAACGATGAAAATTTGGATGATTTCTTTCAGAAGAGACATCGATTCGGAGTTTTAAACATTTTTTCGTTTGCCAAGAGAAGTTGGTTAAAAAATTTTGTTTTCTAGGAGATATTAAAATCTGTGGAACTTTCATAAGGTTGGTGTAACAAGTCATCTCATTTCATTAATTTTGTGTTCTTCGTATGGTGGTATTAAGTGTATTCATTTTATTAGAAATATTACAAAACGTTTTAATTAGCTATTATTTGGGTCAGATATTATGGTCAGAAGTTATTAGAGGCTTTTTACGAAATTGTATGTATATTATTGTTTCATCGTTATATCTTAATCCTCTTTATACGAAGAATGCTAAAGGCTTGGTTGGCCATAGATAAATCTTATTGAATGGTTCAGAATGGTTCTTTTCACATCGTGTTATCTAACTAAAAACAGGATATATTTATATTATATTTTATATCATAGTATACTTTAGTGTTCATTTATTATACAGGAATGTTTATACAAAGCAATACTCAATTTCGAATAATTTCATTATTTGTATGAAATTAATTCAATCTAAAAAAAATCGTTTCGTTCGTTCGGAACGATTTAATTAAATAGCGCGCGCACAGTTTTTAATTGTTAATTACCATCCCTCTGAATTACGTTTCTTACTTTATTTTACTTCGAAAGAAGTAAAATAAATTTTCATTGATATCGAACAATTTGTTTCAATCAAAGAATAATAATAAACAAGTACATACGATTGATTAATCTCGCAATTTAAATAAAAATAAATTTGTTCGTGTTTTCCTTACTTTTCAATTTAAGAAGAAAAACCGAGCCTTGAAATATATTCACGTTTCTACTTTCAATCATTCTTAAGAAACAACAAAAAGTGTACAAGCTTAATACTCACTGTTCTTGTAATTCTCCGACATCGATGCATACTGCGTTCCGTGATGGTGACCCGATATTTGCCCCAATATCTCCAGATTCCTCGATTGCCGTCCTGAAAAAGGCACAATGGAAACGGGAACATTAAAGATCGGGCCACGATTAATCATAACGGTAAATTAGGTGCTCTCGAAGATAAAGGGATGCTTCCGATGGCTCTAAGCTTTTTGTCGTTTTTCTTGATCCGAGCCCAAGATTTCCAAGACGAAATTCCACCGACAATTTAAATGAATCCTTATCTCGATAAAGGGTCCCTAATGAAGCGGACCGATATTTTCGATGAAGCCACTTTTTCGCGAATATCTCGACGACCGTTTCATTTCGGACCGTCGTTCCGGGAGAATAAGCAGTGATAATCGGACGAGCTTGTATTTGTGTGCAGTGCATCGTGATAAATAATGCACAACGATAGGTTTAAGTCTACAATTTTGTTAGAAAGTTTTAAAAAGTGTCTCATTTCTAATTTTTAATCACTTGCTTGCAATTGGTAAATATCAGTTTAGTATTTATTAAAATCTAATTAAATCAATTTGCACATATATATATATTGCAAAGACAACGAAATTTTTATTGATCGCAGTTGATGAATTAATTTTCACTCGTGAAACTGAAAATTGAAAGAAACTGACGTAATGGCTACATCAATTAATTTTCCAACTCTACTACTTAACTAGCAATCATCCATTGTAATCCATAACCAATTATAATTCCTAATATTCACGAACTTTCGTGATAAACGATTTCGAATTTTAATTAAATTGTTTTGTCGTTATAATAATAATAATTTCATCTTCCATTTGCATAAATCGTTGGATCCCCTCCGCCCCTTATAAAAAATATAAATCTCTATTTCAAATTATAATTCATAAGCAATTACAATTCCCGACACCAATCTCGAATTTTAATTAAACTTTGCGCCGATCATCGTGTCTCCCATTTTTACGTAACATCCATCCTCCCCCCGAAAAGTTATTAAAATCAAAGGAAGAAGTAGTTTCTCGGTTCTTCCTTTCGCCGGATATTTCAGGCGTTAAAATGATAATTTAAAGTTGCGAAATCGCGACAACCTATGGTCGAAACTTTAACGATATTCCGTGAGGACAAGTGCGCGCTGCAATTCTCGTAACTTGCGACAGACTTTTCCCCGCGAAACTGGGGAAAAAGCGGCAAATAGGAATATTGCATGGTGCGGTAACAACTAACTTCTTGCGGTGTCATTTTTTGCCACAGAATGCGACGGTACACTGGCGACATGCAATTGAACTTGTACAAAACCTCGTCTATATACATGTTTTCTTGGATATCTTCATTCCAATATCTTTATTAGACACGGTACACGCGAACGGTTTATTAAAGTATCACATTAATCAGATCGCGTGACCTTTTGCCACGAATACGTAACGTTTTAAATAATATTCCCTAATAAGAGGGTAAAGTTAATATTTGCACCGGTATATTAACGCTGTGATAAATTATCGTCGCTTTTAATAATATTAATGATAATTAAAGGAGCACTCTCATTTTTATTGACAAATTCCAATCACGTATCAATATCTTCAACGAACGACGAATATATCGATACGATTTTTTATCCAAATTAAAAGTAGAATCGTTGGACAAGTTCAGAAACAAGATCGGAAAATATTCGTGTTACGGATAAATAATTTAAAGGAATATCTAAAAATTTCACTCGTTCGTCGTTTAACTTTACTGCTTACTCGAAATTTCACAGTTCGTAGAAATAAATATATACACGAACATTCCAACTGTTTCATTATTCGGAAGACGAGTATTGCAAGTTATTTAAAAACAAATCCTGCGAGGAACGGCGATAATTTCACCGCGAATTGCTAATAACTAAAAATGAAAGCTCGGGAAACAAAGGTGGGGTGAGCACCGTAATGTAAACTTTGAAGAAGGGAAGTTTCCTTCCCTCGAAATTTGAGAAGATAAAGTTCATATTGGCCCGTGGAAAGTCGGGATTTAAAGAGCAATCCCTATTTTACGAAGGTGTATTTAAATCAATAAGGACAAGATTATATAAGTCCCCGATGGAAAAACTTTCTCCATAATCGCTTCCATTCAGGTGTCGGCAATTAGCAAACTTTACTGTCCGGCATTATCGTTTATCTTTCGCCCCGACGATCCATAATCTTAAGGAATTAACGAGGGAGAAATGTGTATTATCTTTCACCCACCTCGACGACTTTTTTTCAATTATTATAAATTGCGATCAATTTATTTGATAATTAAACTTTGATGCCTCGAAACATTTACCTTGTGTACCTTAAAAAATTTAACAAATTTAACAAGTTGAAAGATCTGGTTATTAATGATACAGAAATACAGAGATATACGTATATTTGGTATATCGATTATTTATTTTAAAAAATTCAAGGAAAAAAGGGGGAAAAGCGTTTCCTCAAATTCGTCCGTTCAAACGTTGGTAGAACGCCATTACATTTCCGAGCGGAAGTTGATACGTTGTCAATACGTTTCACCTGTCGAGCCTGTGTATATCGATACTCGTGTGTACGATTTGCAAAGTTCGGTTGCAAATTCCACACAATGGCTACATGACGTACTAGCTACCTATGTTTTTTCGGACTGAGCCCTGTTCGGATTAGCCGCGAACACGGATTTAGCAAACATGACGAGGAACGGGGGACATTTCAATGGAAGTTGAAAACAATTGTTTGCATTGGGGGAAACGTTTTCGAACGTGCCGCTTTTAAAAGCTTACTCGATTTTCGAGGCTGAAATGCCCTTTCGATGTTTGACTTTAAGAAGATCGTAATACTTCTGATATAATTAAAGAACCCTTTTTTTTTTTGTAAAAAAAGCTACGAAAAGATATTTGCATATATCAATCACACTGCTAGGTTAATTGATAACTATTTCAATACAGCAACTTGAATAATATTGTCATCGAACCAACCAAAGATATAATAAGGACATTGTTGTAGGATATAAAAGTTCGAATTGAAATTTTATCTATAACTTTATTATTAAACGTTGCTAGCAGTGTCATTATTCTGTAGTTGGCATCCTTTTGTTTGTCTTCGATACGGGATCGTCAATTGTTCAGTTGCTGTTCTGTAGCCCGACACGTGCACTCACGTATAACCAAAATATATCCATTCAGTATATTTCTTATATTTATTGTTCACCACTGCACAACCAACCAACAGACGTAACAATACGTATTCGAGCAAAACGAGGAAATTCGACTCGCGATTAAAGAAGAGATCCGTGTGAACGAATATTTAAAAACAATTCTAACAAGCGGGTTAGAACGATTATTAGAGCAGAGCCGACAATTTAGATAATTGCATCTCGCCAACTATTCTCATACCAGGCTCGAATTAGCACCGCCTTCGGACCAAATACTTACCAGGGAATAGCTACTGTCGCGAATAATCTGGAATTCTGCACGGGCGAAGTCTTCGAGTGATTTTACCTCGCCGCGGCGAGACACCAAAAATTCAATTTGCGGACTTCCGCCATAGAGATCGGAAGTTAACCCAAGTTTCCTGTGCTGTTGGCCGCTCCCCCTTTTTCTCTCCACTCGTAAATAATCAACGAAAACATCCCCCTCCTCGATGATAACTTAACGAACTCGCTGAATCGGTATTCTGTCCGGGCGTCGGAGTCAACCAACTCGTCAAAGCTTTCGTTGAAATCGAGATAGAGAGGGGAGGGGATTGGAGGAAGAAGGGGGGAAGAAGCGGGAGGGGAACGAAACAATGACGTTTCTCGTTCACCACGGTGTAAGCACGCCGCGGTTCTACCCGTATTTTTGAAGCCGCCTTTGTGCTAACCCGCTTTCAAATTTCGCAGCTACGCCCCAACTTCGGGTAACTGAATTCTATTGGTCACAGCGGCGAGTCGTGAGAGCTCCGCCATAAGAAAAGCTTTCATTGTTGGAATTCGAGTACGAGCCGATATATCTGTCCCTCTCTCCGTTTCTTCGCCCTCTCCTATAGTAAGATGATCCGAGGTTGAGATATCCTCCCCCCGTGTAAAACGATCTGAAAAGTATCTCCGTTTGTTTTAATCTCGAAGGAAACGAGCAATCGATGGCTATAATGATATTTGCTAAAATTTTAATTCGTTCGAACGATAAAGTTCTCTCTCGGATGCGAAGATAAGATTATTTCCAATTATTTATAACCTTTTATCGTTTCTCCCACTTGTAGAAATAATTCGATCGCGAATTACCTCTCCTTCCATCCTTCCCCTCATCTTCCTCCTCGCCAAGATTTTCTGGAGTGGCGCGCACTCTCCACCCTGTATCGACGTTTATTTAGGACGCGCTCCCATCACGAAACGATAATATCACGGCTGGCCAGGCAACGATTAATGGAGCAATCCGGGCTGTGACCGATGTTATACGCAACATCGGGAAACAGGGTGCAGCTTTTCATCGGATCCGGATATGTATGTACATTATGCGCAGGATTGGCCGGCTCACGCTGCCCGCCACCGTGAAATTTACTTTACGGCTTATTGGCCGGTGTTTAGAGCAAAGTATTGCCCGTACACGCCGGCCACGTTCTTATTTTTAACCCCGTCCACGGGGCTCCTTCATTTCGATGCTGATGCAAAGAAAACGACGTGCACGGTTATTTCGACAAACGAAACGCGGCCGGATTTTCCAACGTGCACACGGCAGATTCTTGTTATTTCTGAGAATTAGGGGATGTTTTCGTTCGCCCGGCTTGACCCGTACATTGTTTGGACACGTTCGGTGTTTATTTCGCTACCGGGCTACGTGTGTGTTCGTGAGGGGAGATGGATTTCAATTTTTTCTTTTTTTTTTTTTTATTATTTTTCCTTCGAAGATCGATTGATCGATACGATCGTTCACTTGAGCGTATTAAATTTGACAAACGTAAGGGAAGATTCTTGTTTGGTGGATGATTTTGCGCTGAGTATTATTCGGTGGTCAATTATTATTATCAGACGTTCGTCGATTGTATTGTAAATTTGCAATTGAGTATTGTAATTTATTGTAATCGTTAATGTCAATAATATTTTATATATTTATATATT